TCTTCATCACCTTGCTTTTGAAAAGGTTACTCCTTAGCCCAGAGGAGCAGAAGGGAGTCTTTCGCCTCAACCTGACAGCTTTCTCCCAGGTTTGCTCGTATTGATCAGGGACTTCAGGTTGCCTTTCCTCCATTTGAACCCAATGTGGCGTCTGCAGTGCGGCATACTAAAATGATGTATAATCAATGATTCATAGCACCAACCTGGCTTGTGCAAAGCCATCAAAATTATACAGTAACACAGGCGCTCACTTCATGCTGAAAAGACCCTGGGTCCATCGACAAAAGGAGAATAAAATGTAAGCCTTGGTCTATGCTAAGGTATTCTTTAACAAGAACAAAAATAAAAAGCATACAAAATGGTGAACCATATGTGCTATAGATTTGTAATGTTTAAAAAAAAGTGTTTTGCTTATTTCTTATTTTTGGCTTTGGTTCTGTTTTTGTTTCTTTTTAAATTTGTGTTCAATGTATTAAACTAAATACAGATTTATATGTTGTGTTTAAATATTGAAATATTCACAATGAATTAATGATATATCAAAAAATTATAAACCTCCAATGATTTTTGGTTTTCAAGATGTAAATGTTTTGTATTTTATTTTATGAATAACTGATAAAGTTTTATTAAAAAATTAAAATGTAGGTATATATAATTAATTTATGTTTTCCAACCCAGCAAGCATTTTTTTTTTTTTTTAAAGACATCTAAGCATAGTCGTCTTGGCCAAAACAAGGCATGTCAAAACTTGGGCTGTCAGTGAAAATCTAATAGATGTCTATTAGAAAAATCTATCTATCTATCTATCTATCTATCTATCTATCTATCTATCTATCTATCTATCTATCTATCTATCTATCTATCTATCTATCTATCTATCTATCTATCTATCTATCTATCTATCTATCTGTCTATCCATCCATCCATCCATCCATCCATCCATCCATCCATCCATCCATCCATCCATCTATCTATCTATCTATCTATCTATCTATCTATCTATCTATCTATCTATCTATCTATCTATCTATCTATCTATCTATCTATCTATCTATCTATCTATCTATCTTTCTGTCTGTCTGTCTGTCTGTCTGTCTGTCTGTCTGTCTGTCTGTCTGTCTATCTGCTAAAAAGACCCTGGGTCCATCGACAAAAGGCATCATCAGTGCGACCCTTTTTTTATTGGCTTTGGTTCTTGTTGTTGTTGTTTTCTTATAAATTCATGTGCAATTTATTAAGTTAAATTCAGATTTATATATTGTGTTCCGGGCGACGCAGTGGCGCAGTAGGTAGTGCTGTCACCTCACAGCAAGAAATTCGCTGGTTCGAGCCTTGGCTGGGTCCGTTGGTGTTTCTGTGTGGAGTTTGCATGTTCTCCCTGCTTTCTCGTGAGTTTCCTCCAGGTGTTCCGGTTTCTTCTACAGTCCAAAGACATGAGGTACAGGTGAATTGGGTAGGCTAAATTGTCCATAGTGTATGAGTGTGAATGAGTGAGTGTGTGGATGTTTCCCAGAGATGGGTTGCAGCTGAAAAGGCATCCGCTGCATCGCTGCATAAAAACGTGCTGGATAACTTGGCCGTTCATTCGGCTGTGGCGACCCCGGATTAATAAAGGGACTAAACCAAAATGAAAATGAATGAATGAATATTGTGTTTCAATATTGAAAGACACAGATAATAATTTTTAGTTCTCAAGATTTACCATTATATGCATGTTTTGTATTATGTTTTATTTTATTTTATAAACGACTGATGACGTGACAATAAAAATTTTCATTTAAGCTGTTATTTGCAGAAAATGTAGGTCAGTATAAAATTATATTTATATAATTATAGAAATATTTATATTTATAAATATGAAAAACATATTGTTTTCCAGTCTTTAAAGATATTTAAATAGTATTATCTATACCCAGCAAGCATTTTTTTTTTTGTTTTTAAAAGAAAGACATTTACTAGACACCGACTAGTCTAGTTTTGGGCTATTCTTAGATGTCTATTAGACATTTACTTACAGCCTAAGTTTAGCCTTGTTTTAACCAATCTGTCTATGTTTAGATGTCTATTAAACACCTATTAAACCCAAACATATATGCTTCTATCTATCTATCAATCTATCTATCTATCTGTATTATCAGGTGTTCTTACAGACACAAGTGTTCTCAAGGTCTCCACTGAGTTCTCACATGATGAATGTCTTCTACACAGATAAAATGGCTTTATTGTGAGAGTTCTGACACGTGGTAGAGCTACAAACATCTGTATCAAAAATAGAAGTGTCCTTGAGGATGAAAAATCAGTTCATCTTATTTCAGATACTTGTGTGGGAGAGCCATAATTGAAAAAGTTAAGTTGTTGAACTAGTTTGCAACACACTGTATACTGCATGTGTGCGTGTGTGAGAGAAAGCGAGCGAAAGAAAGAGAGTCAGATTTAGTCGCGTAAATTGAATCAGGTCAACTGTATCATCACGAATACAATTTAGGCCATTATATTGCTATTCTTTGCCATTGGACAGAGGGGTAAAATAGCTCTATAATGACAAGAAAATGATGTAGAAAGCAAGGGCCATGAAGATGTGTTGAGCATGACTTCATATATGAGTGGAAAAAAGTGAAGTACAAACAGATATAATTCCTCCTCCACCTCTTTAATCATTTTGCCTCATTTTAACAAAGAATCCATTAATAATGTCATGGATATTTAGAGTGTGCTTTGATAAATGAGATCCTGCCCCCTCTGTCTGGTGGGATTCCCATCCACTTTTGAAACCCTGAATTAATGCAATATTGCTGCCTGCTCTCAAAAGGACTTCACACGTACTAGTATTAATTACAAGTGGGAAATGACTTTGTTCATCAATCAAATAATTTTCTTCAACTTGTCAAAAGCAATGGCATCGCACTATGCATGAAGCCCCCTCTGCTTTGTTAACGGCGCTATTGTTTTGACAGAGAGTGAAAGGAAAGCAGCTGCCTCTTGTTCGTTCGGTCGTCACTAGCTGCTCAGCCACCCTGCTGAGGCAAAGTTCACTTAAAACCCCCAAACAGAGCAGAAACAAATTATCACATCAAGGTAGATTAATAGCTCGTGTTACGGAATAATCATTGCTGCTTTGAAAGCAAGAGACGTCTGTGACAAATGCTGGAAGATCTTACAGATCAGCCTTGCCTGTACTCCGTGAGCAAGCTCTGATGTAAAGGGCAGCTCAGATTGCAAATCGTGCTGTTCTGTTTCTTGGATCCGCCGATTTGAGGGACAATTACACCAAACATTGTCATTCGCATGTGCCAAATTCTGTCACAGAAACACAACCCACAACATGGCAATTCCTAACTATTTTGTGTTTGAACAAATTATAGTGGCTTATTCAAATAAATTCCAATAATCTCATTCTAATGTTTTTTTTTTTTTTTTAATCTATTGACCCCCCTTTGATGGGTACGTTTTGGATTATAGAAGGGTCTTCATGCTTTTATTTTCAATGCAGGCTCATTGGCAATATGTGTCTACATGTCGTCAATTTAGAATTATAAGGTTCTATCCGACATTTTTTGTCAAAATTGAGTTATTCACATATTTTTATTAAATGACAACTTATTTACATTATGTGATGATTTATTTGTTGTTTACATTTTAAGACTTTTTGTTAAAAAACCTGGCTCTAAAACGTTCTTTCTGTGAGCCAATCAGCATTTTGAATGCACGCACAAAGACCAATCAGGATCAGCTATCTTTGTCATTTTGCCAGATTGCTCCATTGACAGTGGAAATGATCAGAAAAAGACACAAAATCAGAGTCGACTTAATAATGCCGCACCTCCCAAAATTGAGAAGAAACTTGAAACTGAAAAGATGTGTGTAAATGTGATGATTTAGAAGCATTTTTGACATTAAGATGAAATGTAAAATTTTGCGTTGTTATGTACACGGTTAATAAACAGTGTTTATTAAACTCAATTGCGCAATGTCTGTCTTTTAAATTCTTTAAATTTGATATTAAGGCTCAAAGGGCAAATGCTTAATTTAATTTATAGGACATATAGTTCAATCAATATAATTTAATAGTTCATATAAAGCAAAAAATTAAATAAATATTACCATATTAATTACATAAAAATATAAATCCTAAAACATTTTATAAATGTTGCAGAAAGCATTTTACTAAACCAATTTTTATTTTTTGTTTGACTGTATTTCTTGATAAGTAATGCTTCAGTTAATGATCAAGTCCTGCCTTCTCATCTTGTGTATTTCATGTTTTACAGAAAAAAAGTAGCTTGATGCACATATTTGCAATTTTGAGTGACTTAATTAATACAGTTAAGTCACTTAGACATCTAAGGATCTAAGTTTTGTTTCCCTGTGTTTTTCTGGGTTGTGAAAAATATGTAACTGTGGCAAAATTGCGGAAAAATTTAGTTTTTTCTTGCATGTGTACACTCTCAGAAAAAAAGGTACAATGAGGGTACAATTTTGGTCCTAGAGGGAACAAAATATATAATTGTACCTTTAAAGGTCCCAAATTGGTCCTTAGGGCACAATTTTGTACTCAAATGGGCCAAAAAGGTACAAACGTCCAGATTTAGGTTTGAAAGGTACACTTTTGTACCTTTTATAGCACATTTGGGTACATAATTGTACTGTAAAGGACCATTTTGGCACCTTTAAAGGTACAATTATATATTTTGTTTCCCTATAGGAACAAAATTGTACCCTCAGCTTATAAGATCAAGACACCATATAACACTAATTTTTAATTAATTAATACTAAACATTAATACTAAAATCCATCATTTAAAATATAAAATTAATAAATTGATTGAATAAAATACTTTAATAATTATTTTTTTAATGTATTCAAATGTAGTTTTTTCTCAAAAAATATTTACAATTTAATGTAGAATTGAATGTATTTTTAAAAATTAAAAGCGTAAATACTGGTCTTTACTTACTGTTTAAGACCTTAAATGGGATTTAGAATAAGGATCATGCAGAGTGACAGTATCTTCATTCAGGTGGAGATGTTGCTGTCTCTTTAAGAATGCGGCTTGTTGGCAGTGTTTGTTACTGAGGCGGTCGAGTTTGCTCATGCTGGCTGTTAACACAGAACTTCGCACGATTTTCAAAGAAAAGTCTATTTTGGAGTCCACACTTTTCAGGTAAATATTTATTTATGACATATTTTCAGTTTCATTTTTACATGTGACGCCATGTTCTACTGCTTTTGTCTGACTCTCGTGCCTCGGCTTTCCCCCGCTTAAAGACCGCGAAAAAATTCTCCGGACTGCTTGGTGTACGTTTGCCTGCAGGATGGAGTTGGCTAAGAGGTCTGCAGCTTATTAAAGAAGTTAATACAATATGATATTGAAGTCACCGCGGGACATAACGTTATAGAAGGTGAGTAAGTTAACTATATGCTATTAGTTTTCTCGGTGTAAAAACACACTTTATCGCCTACGTATTCGCGCCTCATATCTTACGTTACTGCTTTATTAATAAGTGTTGCCACTGCAGAATATTATCGCAACCCAGATAGCAAAACACTCGGGCCAGTTCCGGCTAGTTTCTCGCCTGCCGGAGACTTACCCCTCGGCCCGGCTTCATTTGCTGTACTCGGACCGGATGCCTATGGACTCACTGCTCTATTCGGACTGCTTCAATCGGGCAGCAGTAAGCGAGCCGAGGCTGCCGCATCCGAGCCGGAATCGGCCCGTGAGCAAAGCGAGCGATTATGTAACCGTGGCTAATTACAAACGTGGTGTGTGTATTCCTGTACACATCTTCGTTTTAGTGTCTACATTAACGTTGAGGAGTGTCCACAAACTCTTATGTCCAGAATTGTTGGTGCTTCACTCTTGTTTATGCTTATGTTAATGTATAATTATTAACGTACCACGTTGTATGAATCGACGTTTTAAGTAATGCTTCGTTCTTTAATGTAATACCTTACAGTATTTTAACTATTTTATAAATATCTAAAAATAAACAAATAGTTATTATTTTCTCTTATTGCTTTCCAGAAGTTTTTAAAGTTTCCATTTGACCTTCAGGACAGTTGGAACAACAGAATGCAGCCTGACAGCATCAGACCAGTGAAGGTATTTCATATGAAAGCATGGCTCAGTACAAGATGCAAGTATTTCTCATTATCTGTATACCATGGTTTTAATGGCTTACATACTATTTGAAATTTGTAGGTTTTTACTTAAAAACAACAATACATGTACACATATATGTTTAAAATTATTTTCTAGGTATTCATCGAAAGATGAGAGATCAACTGAAAAATGCTATGGACCTGACACTAAGGTACTCTTTCTAAATTTTCTCTATTTGATTAATATTATTAAATTCTAGCTTTGTATGGATTCCTTCATATTTGTTTGTATGCCACATCTTATGTTCCAGGAATTGATTTTACAGCAGCACTTATCATGTTGCCAGCCTTGTTCAGCGAGAAACTTCAACATTTTGCTGTACTCAGGTGCGTAAGTTGTTTTCTGTTTAGTATATGCTGTGATAAATGCATTTTATAATTCTTGATATTCTTTATATTAGGATTGCAAAGCGGGTAGTCCCCTTACAGCAAAAAGGTCGCTGGTTCGAGCCTCGGCTGGGTCAGTTAGCATTTCTGTGTGGAGTTTGCTTGTTCTTCCCGTGTTCGTGTGGGTTCCTTACAAGTGCTCCGGTTTCCCCACAAGACCAAAGACATGTGCTATAGGTGAATTGGGTAAGCTAATTTGTCTGTAGTGTATAAATGAGTGTGTATGAATGTTTGTGTTACTGGGTTGTGGCTGGAAGGGCATCTGCTGCGTAAAATGCTGGATAAGTGGGCAGTTCATTTCACTGTGGCGACCCCAGATTAATAAAGGGACTAAGCCAAAAAAATTAATGAGTGAATGAACTTTATATTAATCATTTTATCTGTTATACTTTTTTTAAAATCAGTGAATATTAATTATTTCACATTCTATGCATGTTGACTTTCTCTTCATCAAAGATATTAATGAAATTATTGCTTTGTTATTTACAGTGAATCATCTTCACCACATCCAACAGTTCAAGTACAGGAGGACACCACAAACTGGACAACAAAACGAGTCACGGCAGTCTTCAGAGTTGATGGCATTGTGATTGGCCGGGTTAATGGTGTGGACGAATATACATTTTTATCCATCTCATTTGAAGAACACCTTGATGTTTCTGCAGTGGAATGTTTTAAATGAACTGTGGACGATGACAAGCCTCGACCCACTCCAGCTACCAGAGGGATCAACCTTGTTTTTTGTTTCTCTAAATGCTCTTGGATAATAATCACAATCATCAAGTTAATCCAGCACACTGCTCTCATTCATGCATAAAGCAAATTTTTAAATAACTTGTGGTCCTAATGAACATTTTCCAGTTATGAGTGCCTTACATGTCATGTTTACCAAAAACATAAACGTATTGTTACAACAAATTACAACTCTTCTTGAGGAAGTTGAGGAAGAATCTACTGATGTTGAGGAAGAGGCTACTGATGTTTTTGGTTTTCTGCACTGTTGATGCAATTTATAGAGAAACATTGCCTTCATTCTGAAATACAGAGAAAATGTTGATGACAAATTATTTATTATGACTGAGTATTCTGACTAAAGACAAATACTTTGGACTTTATAAAGTGCAGTACTTGATGTAGCCTGTGTAATGTGTTTATAAATCTTAAACAGTATTCTTGTGGTCTTTGTATTAAGTGTAGATGATTTACTGAACAGTGACATCTAAATTGATCTTTTTACTGTTTTACATGTCTGGTTTATACTTGCTGTGTAATTTTATTACTTGACACATTCAGTTGTGAATTGTAATAAAATATTATTACATTTCTAAATAAAAATGGACATCTGCGAACCAAAATAATTTATTTATTTGTGCATGCAGTCACCAAAGGATCAAAATGCCTGGGTCAGTACCCTGAAAATGCTATATGATATAAGAAGGTACATTTTCGTACCTTCCTTGGGGGTACAAAATTGTCCCTTAAATGGTACAAATGTAGAAGGTACAATTTTGTACCTCTAAACAGAGGTACAAAATTGTACCCTTTAGGGTACCACCCCAGTGACGGGCCATTTGTACCCTAAAAGGTACAATTTTGTACCTTTTTTTCTGAGAGTGTACTAGGGTTGCACGATATTTAAAAAATATATAATTTTACTTTCGATATGATATTTTCATTTCGATATGATTATTGCAGATCCGCACATTGCGATATCAATGCAGAAACAATATATTGTGCAGCCCTAATGTGCATCTTTCAAAGTAAAATGTCCTGTGAGTGGCACTAAAATGTTCAGCTTTATCAGACACAAATAAGCATCACTGTTTATTTGGTTAATGCATATGTTAAGAAGTCAAATGGCCAGTAAGTGACAATAAAACATGGTTGTGTTGAAAATAACCACCTAAAATAAACATCAGTACAAACCTAACAACAGTGCTTAAACAAAATATGTGTTTTAAAATGTGATGTTTTGCTGTGGCATTTCGTATGTGGTGAAAAAAAAAAAAACTATGTTCTCATGCTTGCTCGATAAAGTGAGGTATGCACCTCAAGGGAGTCTAGTACCTGTGCACAATTATATGGCTATATTCCAAAAACATTTAGATGACATGGCAAATTCAATTCCGATCTTACTGTATTCTGGTATTTCCATTGATAATGTAGGTTTTGTCTATTGAGCTACATGTTTTTAGTTACATTTGCCGGAAGCTAGCTCTCTGCAACTCTCACATGATCGACTGCTGAAGTAAGCAGATCTGCGCCCGGTCAGTATGTAGGTGGGATACCACATGGGAAAGCTAGATTGCTGCCGGAAGTGGTGTTAGTGAGGCAAAGCAACGGACACTCAATCTGCCGTCTGTGTGGGTCCTAATGCCCCAGTATAGTGAAGGGGACTGTATACTGCTCAGCGAGTGCCGTCTTTCAGATGAGACGTTAAACCGAGGTCCTGACTCTCTGTGGTCGTTAAAAATCCCAGAATATCCTTTGAAAAGAGTAGGGGTTTAACCCCGGCATCTTGGCCAAATTTGCCCTATGCAATCTCACAGCAATTTGTAACGTTTTAATTTAGTGGCTAATTCGTATTTGTACTAAATTTGTAAAATTTAGTATGATTTGCTCATAACCCAATGACGGTTGGGTTGGGTGCCACGCCTCCTTTTTAAAAATCATACATTTTCATACGATTGAACTCATACAAATTCATACGAATTAGCCACTAAACTGACAAAAACTTACATTTTCTTGTGAGGCCAGGCAGATTTTGCCCACTGGCCTCTGTCCATGATGGCCTCCAAACCATCCCCATATCATGGTCTCCTCTCCATCAATCAGTTTTTAATCACTAATTAGTGCTGCATACTAGTGATGGATTTCCCCCCTATGTGTAAAGCGTTTTGAGTGTCCAGAAAAGCGCTATATATAAATGTGAGGAATTATTAATGTTATTATTTTTTATTTACATTTTATTTTATTTTAATGTTCAAATGTAAAAGGAAGTTGGAAAACACCTTATATCTGCTGCAAAATATTGTTGATGATAAAATCGATTAATTAAGAATCCTTACATAGCTTTTACAGCTTGTGTCTTTGAGATTCTGCTAATCAAAACAGTGGTTTGTTTTGATTTGTGACATAACACTGCAGCTGTTCATCATCATGAAAGTTTATTATGTGCATGTGTTTTAAGGCCATGTCAGTTTAAACTGATGATATACAATTCCATACAACTGATGCAGAAAGCAGCTGTCAGATGACACATATCGCATGAGTATTAAGGTTTTCTTGCATGTCTTACTGCACTTAAACTATAAAAATAAACTCTGGGTTATATCAAAAACTCACAAAAAAAATTCACATAAACATTGTTAAATATATCTGTGATGTAGCAAAGGAAATTGAATATTGATATTGGATGTGTGTATTAAAATCATCATTCCAAAGCTGTCACAGAAACAGCTTGTTTTGACAAAAGGTTTATGATTTTTTTTTTTAATGTTTTTTGGATGATGTGTAAGTTGTTTTGTCTTCTGGTGTTGTTGTTATTATGTGATTGTAATTAATTGTGGGACCCCCTTGAAAATGACATGAATAAATGAATAAATATCAATTTTCGGTAGTACTACAAAAAATGGTTTGAATTTTTACGATTATAGAGTAGTTGTGTACAAGCACTGTAGAGATACTTTATTTCAATATCTATTTATTATTTAAAATAAAAAATTATTCTTACCCTGTTGCAATAGCATTTCTAAAATGTTGATTGTAGGGGAACTGTTTTTTGTATGTTATGTGATTTTCATATTTTTTTCTGTTAATATTAAGTATTAAAACAATGCAGATAAACAATGCTATCAGCAGCCCTACTTCATGAAATGTCAAAATCAAAGTTTCAATAAGTCTCTTATATATTTGCACATTGTACCAAGATCACAGAACTTTGTGGCTCGACTGTATATCTTATAATGTAGTGAACTGTATTTTGACTTATTTTTTTCTAAACATTTCTCTGTGAGCAATAAAATGAAGTGCTTCAGTCGCACAGCTTTGATCACTCGACGTGCTGCTTCACTGACTACAGAGGAGTTCTGCTTGTCGTCAGTAAAATTTTGTGTCAACAAGACTTCAGTTAACAAGAATTTCTGATAAGAGCTCTTAAAAGCGGAGATGCGCTGAGAAATTCACCTCACACACTGTTTGTTTTTACTTTCTCCAACAATCAGAAATGTTCACAAAACAAGTAACAATCTTATCTCCATATTATTCATCTTAACCTTTGTTTTCATTCCGAGATTACAACGAACATCACAAAGCCTTCATTATGCTTCTAGACTAGATTGGTCTAGAACCAGCGCATGATACATGGAGCCAATTTCAAGCTGGTGTTTAGGAAATATGTCATGCTCAACTCAACCTTGCACTTGTTGAAACACAGTGAATAAGATGTGGGCTCTTGTGGATATATGTTTGATGAAATTGACACATATTATTGATTTTTCCTTGCAGGAAAATACACAATGTATAGTCTAACATGTCAGCTGGAGAAGTAAAGAGA